TGCCTACAGGGGTTCAGACTTACTTCCTTGTAGTAGTTTACTGATTCTCAGTGTAAGAGAACTTGTGGGGGGCTGGGCTCACTCCTCACAGAGGCCAGGGTAAGGCAGGATGCCTACAGGGGTTCAGACTTACTTCATTGTAGTAGTTTACTGATTCTCAGGTGTAAGAGAACTTGTGGGGGCTGGGCTCACTCCTCACAGAGGCCAGGGTAAGGCAGGATGCCTACAGGGGTTCAGACTTACTTCATTGTAGTAGTTTACTGATTCTCAGGTGTAAGAGAACTTGTGGGGGCTGGGCTCACTCCTCACAGAGGCCAGGGTAAGGCAGGATGCCTACAGGGGTTCAGACTTACTTCATTGTAGTAGTTTACTGATTCTCAGGTGTAAGAGAACTTGTGGGGGCTGGGCTCACTCCTCACAGAGGCCAGGGTAAGGCAGGATGCCTACAGGGGTTCAGACTTACTTCCTTGTAGTAGTTTACTGATTCTCAGTGTAAGAGAACTTGTGGGGGCTGGGCTCACTCCTCACAGAGGCCAGGGTAAGGCAGGATGCCTACAGGGGGTTCAGACTTACTTCATTGTAGTAGTTTACTGATTCTCGGTGTAAGAGAACTTGTGGGGGCTGGGCTCACTCCTCACAGAGGCCAGGGTAAGGCAGGATGCCTACAGGGGTTCAGACTTACTTCATTGTAGTAGTTTACTGATTCTCGGTGTAAGAGAACTTGTGGGGGCTGGGCTCACTCCTCACAGAGGCCAGGGTAAGGCAGGATGCCTACAGGGGTTCAGACTTACTTCATTGTAGTAGTTTACTGATTCTCGGTGTAAGAGAACTTGTGGGGCTGGGCTCACTCCTCACAGAGGCCAGGGGTAAGGCAGGATGCCTACAGGGGTTCAGACTTACTTCATTGTAGTAGTTTACTGATTCTCAGGTGTAAGAGAACTTGTTGGGGCTGGGCTCACTCCTCACAGAGGCCAGGGTAAGGCAGGATGCCTACAGGGGTTCAGACTTACTTCATTGTAGTAGTTTACTGATTCTCGGTGTAAGAGAACTTGTGGGGGCTGGGCTCACTCCTCACAGAGGCCAGGGTAAGGCAGGATGCCTACAGGGGTTCAGACTTACTTCATTGTAGTAGTTTACTGATTCTCAGTGTAAGAGAACTTGTGGGGGCTGGGCTCACTCCTCACAGAGGCCAGGGTAAGGCAGGATGCCTACAGGGGTTCAGACTTACTTCATTGTAGTAGTTTACTGATTCTCGTGTAAGAGAACTTGTGGGGGCTGGGCTCACTCCTCACAGAGGCCAGGGTAAGGCAGGATGCCTACAGGGGTTCAGACTTACTTCCTTGTAGTAGTTTACTGATTCTCAGTGTAAGAGAACTTGTGGGGGCTGGGCTCACTCCTCACAGAGGCCAGGGTAAGGCAGGATGCCTACAGGGGTTCAGACTTACTTCATTGTAGTAGTTTACTGATTCTCAGTGTAAGAGAACTTGTGGGGGCTGGGCTCACTCCTCACAGAGGCCAGGGTAAGGCAGGATGCCTACAGGGGTTCAGACTTACTTCCTTGTAGTAGTTTACTGATTCTCAGGTGTAAGAGAACTTGTGGGGGCTGGGCTCACTCCTCACAGAGGCCAGGGTAAGGCAGGATGCCTACAGGGGTTCAGACTTACTTCATTGTAGTAGTTTACTGATTCTCAGTGTAAGAGAACTTGTGGGGGCTGGGCTCACTCCTCACAGAGGCCAGGGTAAGGCAGGATGCCTACAGGGGTTCAGACTTACTTCATTGTAGTAGTTTACTGATTCTCAGTGTAAGAGAACTTGTGGGGGCTGGGCTCACTCCTCACAGAGGCCAGGGTAAGGCAGGATGCCTACAGGGGTTCAGACTTACTTCATTGTAGTAGTTTACTGATTCTCGGTGTAAGAGAACTTGTGGGGGCTGGGCTCACTCCTCACAGAGGCCAGGGTAAGGCAGGATGCCTACAGGGGTTCAGACTTACTTCATTGTAGTAGTTTACTGATTCTCAGTGTAAGAGAACTTGTGGGGGCTGGGCTCACTCCTCACAGAGGCCAGGGTAAGGCAGGATGCCTACAGGGGTTCAGACTTACTTCATTGTAGTAGTTTACTGATTCTCAGTGTAAGAGAACTTGTGGGGGCTGGGCTCACTCCTCACAGAGGCCAGGGTAAGGCAGGATGCCTACAGGGGTTCAGACTTACTTCATTGTAGTAGTTTACTGATTCTCAGGTGTAAGAGAACTTGTTGGGGGCTGGGCTCACTCCTCACAGAGGCCAGGGTAAGGCAGGATGCCTACAGGGTTCAGACTTACTTCATTGTAGTAGTTTACTGATTCTCAGTGTAAGAGAACTTGTGGGGGCTGGGCTCACTCCTCACAGAGGCCAGGGTAAGGCAGGATGCCTACAGGGGTTCAGACTTACTTCATTGTAGTAGTTTACTGATTCTCAGTGTAAGAGAACTTGTGGGGGCTGGGGCTCACTCCTCACAGAGGCCAGGGGTAAGGCAGGATGCCTACAGGGGTTCAGACTTACTTCATTGTAGTAGTTTACTGATTCTCAGTGTAAGAGAACTTGTGGGGGCTGGGCTCACTCCTCACAGAGGCCAGGGTAAGGCAGGATGCCTACAGGGGTTCAGACTTACTTCCTTGTAGTAGTTTACTGATTCTCGGTGTAAGAGAACTTGTGGGGGCTGGGCTCACTCCTCACAGAGGCCAGGGTAAGGCAGGATGCCTACAGGGGGTTCAGACTTACTTCATTGTAGTAGTTTACTGATTCTCAGTGTAAGAGAACTTGTGGGGGCTGGGCTCACTCCTCACAGAGGCCAGGGTAAGGCAGGATGCCTACAGGGGTTCAGACTTACTTCATTGTAGTAGTTTACTGATTCTCAGTGTAAGAGAACTTGTGGGGGCTGGGCTCACTCCTCACAGAGGCCAGGGTAAGGCAGGATGCCTACAGGGGTTCAGACTTACTTCATTGTAGTAGTTTACTGATTCTCAGTGTAAGAGAACTTGTGGGGGCTGGGCTCACTCCTCACAGAGGCCAGGGTAAGGCAGGATGCCTACAGGGGTTCAGACTTACTTCATTGTAGTAGTTTACTGATTCTCAGTGTAAGAGAACTTGTGGGGGCTGGGCTCACTCCTCACAGAGGCCAGGGTAAGGCAGGATGCCTACAGGGGTTCAGACTTACTTCATTGTAGTAGTTTACTGATTCTCAGTGTAAGAGAACTTGTGGGGGCTGGGCTCACTCCTCACAGAGGCCAGGGTAAGGCAGGATGCCTACAGGGGTTCAGACTTACTTCCTTGTAGTAGTTTACTGATTCTCAGGTGTAAGAGAACTTGTGGGGGCTGGGCTCACTCCTCACAGAGGCCAGGGTAAGGCAGGATGCCTACAGGAGGGTTCAGACTTACTTCATTGTAGTAGTTTACTGATTCTCAGGTGTAAGAGAACTTGTGGGGGCTGGGCTCTACTCCTCACAGAGGCCAGGGTAAGGCAGGATGCCTACAGGGGTACAGACTTACTTCATTGTAGTAGTTTACTGATTCTCGGTGTAAGAGAACTTGTGGGGGCTGGGCTTTACTCCTCACAGAGGCCAGGGTAAGGCAGGATGCCTACAGGGGTACAGACTTACTTCATTGTAGTAGTTTACTGATTCTCAGTGTAAGAGAACTTGTGGGGGCTGGGCTCACTCCTCACAGAGGCCAGGGTAAGGCAGGATGCCTACAGGGGTTCAGACTTACTTCCTTGTAGTAGTTTACTGATTCTCAGTGTAAGAGAACTTGTGGGGGCTGGGCTCACTCCTCACAGAGGCCAGGGTAAGGCAGGATGCATACAGGGGTACAGACTTACTTCATTGTAGTAGTTTACTGATTCTCAGTGTAAGAGAACTTGTGGGGGCTGGGCTCACTCCTCACAGAGGCCAGGGTAAGGCAGGATGCCTACAGGGGTTCAGACTTACTTCCTTGTAGTAGTTTACTGATTCTCAGTGTAAGAGAACTTGTGGGGGCTGGGCTCACTCCTCACAGAGGCCAGGGTAAGGCAGGATGCCTACAGGGGTTCAGACTTACTTCCTTGTAGTAGTTTACTGATTCTCAGTGTAAGAGAACTTGTGGGGGCTGGGCTCACTCCTCACAGAGGCCAGGGTAAGGCAGGATGCCTACAGGGGTACAGACTTACTTCCTTGTAGTAGTTTACTGATTCTCAGTGTAAGAGAACTTGTGGGGGCTGGGCTCACTCCTCACAGAGGCCAGGGTAAGGCAGGATGCCTACAGGGGTACAGACTTACTTCCTTGTAGTAGTTTACTGATTCTCAGTGTAAGAGAACTTGTGGGGGCTGGGCTCACTCCTCACAGAGGCCAGGGTAAGGCAGGATGCCTACAGGGGTACAGACTTACTTCATTGTAGTAGTTTACTGATTCTCAGTGTAAGAGAACTTGTGGGGGCTGGGCTCACTCCTCACAGAGGCCAGGGTAAGGCAGGATGCCTACAGGGGTTCAGACTTACTTCCTTGTAGTAGTTTACTGATTCTCAGTGTAAGAGAACTTGTGGGGGCTGGGCTCACTCCTCACAGAGGCCAGGGTAAGGCAGGATGCCTACAGGGGTTCAGACTTACTTCCTTGTAGTAGTTTACTGATTCTCAGTGTAAGAGAACTTGTGGGGGCTGGGCTCACTCCTCACAGAGGCCAGGGTAAGGCAGGATGCCTACAGGGGTTCAGACTTACTTCATTGTAGTAGTTTACTGATTCTCGGTGTAAGAGAACTTGTGGGGGCTGGGCTCACTCCTCACAGAGGCCAGGGTAAGGCAGGATGCCTACAGGGGTACAGACTTACTTCATTGTAGTAGTTTACTGATTCTCAGGTGTAAGAGAACTTGTGGGGGCTGGGTTTACTCCTCACAGAGGCCAGGGTAAGGCAGGATGCCTACAGGGGTTACAGACTTACTTCATTGTAGTAGTTTACTGATTCTCAGTGTAAGAGAACTTGTGGGGGCTGGCTCACTCCTCACAGAGGCCAGGGTAAGGCAGGATGCCTACAGGGGTTCAGACTTACTTCCTTGTAGTAGTTTACTGATTCTCAGTGTAAGAGAACTTGTGGGGGGCTGGGCTCACTCCTCACAGAGGCCAGGGTAAGGCAGGATGCCTACAGGGGTACAGACTTACTTCATTGTAGTAGTTTACTGATTCTCAGTGTAAGAGAACTTGTGGGGGCTGGGCTCACTCCTCACAGAGGCCAGGGTAAGGCAGGATGCCTACAGGGGTTCAGACTTACTTCATTGTAGTAGTTTACTGATTCTCAGTGTAAGAGAACTTGTGGGGGCTGGGCTCACTCCTCACAGAGGCCAGGGTAAGGCAGGATGCCTACAGGGGTTCAGACTTACTTCCTTTGTAGTAGTTTACTGATTCTCAGTGTAAGAGAACTTGTGGGGGTTGGGCTCACTCCTCACAGAGGCCAGGGTAAGGCAGGATGCCTACAGGGGTACAGACTACTTCCTTGTAGTAGTTTACTGATTCTCAGTGTAAGAGAACTTGTGGGGGCTGGGCTCACTCCTCACAGAGGCCAGGGTAAGGCAGGATGCCTACAGGGGTTCAGACTTACTTCCTTGTAGTAGTTTACTGATTCTCAGTGTAAGAGAACTTGTGGGGGCTGGGCTCACTCCCTCACAGAGGCCAGGGTAAGGCATGATGCCTACAGGGGTACAGACTTACTTCATTGTAGTAGTTTACTGATTCTCGGTGTAAGAGAACTTGTGGGGGCTGGGCTCACTCCTCACAGAGGCCAGGGTAAGGCAGGATGCCTACAGGGGTACAGACTTACTTCATTGTAGTAGTTTACTGATTCTCGGTGTAAGAGAACTTGTGGGGGCTGGGCTCACTCCTCACAGAGGCCAGGGTAAGGCAGGATGCCTACAGGGGTACAGACTTACTTCATTGTAGTAGTTTACTGATTCTCGGTGTAAGAGAACTTGTGGGGGCTGGGCTCACTCCTCACAGAGGCCAGGGTAAGGCAGGATGCCTACAGGGGTTCAGACTTACTTCATTGTAGTAGTTTACTGATTCTCAGTGTAAGAGAACTTGTGGGGGCTGGGCTCACTCCTCACAGAGGCCAGGGTAAGGCAGGATGCCTACAGGGGTTCAGACTTACTTCATTGTAGTAGTTTACTGATTCTCAGTGTAAGAGAACTTGTTGGGGGCTGGGCTCACTCCTCACAGAGGCCAGGGTAAGGCAGGATGCCTACAGGGGTACAGACTTACTTCATTGTAGTAGTTTACTGATTCTCGGTGTAAGAGAACTTGTGGGGGCTGGGCTCACTCCTCACAGAGGCCAGGGTAAGGCAGGATGCCTACAGGGGTACAGACTTACTTCATTGTAGTAGTTTACTGATTCTCAGTGTAAGAGAACTTGTGGGGGCTGGGCTCACTCCTCACAGAGGCCAGGGTAAGGCAGGATGCCTACAGGGGTACAGACTTACTTCCTTGTAGTAGTTTACTGATTCTCAGTGTAAGAGAACTTGTGGGGGCTGGGCTCACTCCTCACAGAGGGCCAGGGTAAGGCAGGATGCCTACAGGGGTACAGACTTACTTCCTTGTAGTAGTTTACTGATTCTCAGTGTAAGAGAACTTGTGGGGGCTGGGCTCACTCCTCACAGAGGCCAGGGTAAGGCAGGATGCCTACAGGGGTTCAGACTTACTTCCTTGTAGTAGTTTACTGATTCTCAGTGTAAGAGAACTTGTGGGGGCTGGGCTCACTCCTCACAGAGGCCAGGGTAAGGCAGGATGCCTACAGGGGTACAGACTTACTTCATTGTAGTAGTTTACTGATTCTCGGTGTAAGAGAACTTGTGGGGGCTGGGCTCACTCCTCACAGAGGCCAGGGTAAGGCAGGATGCCTACAGGGGTACAGACTTACTTCATTGTAGTAGTTTACTGATTCTCAGTGTAAGAGAACTTGTGGGGGCTGGGCTCACTCCTCACAGAGGCCAGGGTAAGGCAGGATGCCTACAGGGGTACAGACTTACTTCATTGTAGTAGTTTACTGATTCTCGGTGTAAGAGAACTTGTGGGGGCTGGGCTCACTCCTCACAGAGGCCAGGGTAAGGCAGGATGCCTACAGGGGTTCAGACTTACTTCATTGTAGTAGTTTACTGATTCTCAGTGTAAGAGAACTTGTGGGGGCTGGGCTCACTCCTCACAGAGGCAGGGTAAGGCAGGATGCCTACAGGGGTTCAGACTTACTTCATTGTAGTAGTTTACTGATTCTCAGTGTAAGAGAACTTGTTGGGGCTGGGCTCACTCCTCACAGAGGCCAGGGTAAGGCAAGATGCCTACAGGGGTACAGACTTACTTCATTGTAGTAGTTTACTGATTCTCGGTGTAAGAGAACTTGTGGGGGCTGGGCTCACTCCTCACAGAGGCCAGGGTAAGGCAGGATGCCTACAGGGGTACAGACTTACTTCATTGTAGTAGTTTTACTGATTCTCAGTGTAAGAGAACTTGTGGGGGCTGGGCTCACTCCTCACAGAGGCCAGGGTAAGGCAGGATGCCTACAGGGGTTCAGACTTACTTCCTTGTAGTAGTTTACTGATTCTCAGTGTAAGAGAACTTGTGGGGGCTGGCTCACTCCTCACAGAGGCCAGGGTAAGGCAGGATGCCTACAGGGGTTCAGACTTACTTCATTGTAGTAGTTTACTGATTCTCAGTGTAAGAGAACTTGTGGGGGCTGGGCTCACTCCTCACAGAGGCCAGGGTAAGGCAGGATGCCTACAGGGGTACAGACTTACTTCATTGTAGTAGTTTACTGATTCTCGGTGTAAGAGAAGTTGTGGGGGCTGGGCTCACTCCTCACAGAGGCCAGGGTAACGCAGGATGCCTACAGGGGTTCAGACTTACTTCCTTGTAGTAGTTTACTGATTCTCAGTGTAAGAGAACTTGTGGGGGCTGGGCTCACTCCTCACAGAGGCCAGGGTAAGGCAGGATGCCTACAGGGGTTAAGACTTACTTCCTTGTAGTAGTTTACTGATTCTCGGTGTAAGAGAACTTGTGGGGGCTGGGCTCACTCCTCACAGAGGCCAGGGTAAGGCAGGATGCCTACAGGGGTTCAGACTTACTTCATTGTAGTAGTTTACTGATTCTCGGTGTAAGAGAACTTGTGGGGGCTGGGCTCACTCCTCACAGAGGCCAGGGTAAGGCAGGATGCCTACAGGGGTTCAGACTTACTTCATTGTAGTAGTTTACTGATTCTCGGTGTAAGAGAACTTGTGGGGGCTGGGCTCACTCCTCACAGAGGCCAGGGTAAGGCAGGATGCCTACAGGGGTACAGACTTACTTCCTTGTAGTAGTTTACTGATTCTCAGTGTAAGAGAACTTGTGGGGGCTGGGCTCACTCCTCACAGAGGCCAGGGTAAGGCAGGATGCCTACAGGGGTACAGACTTACTTCATTGTAGTAGTTTACTGATTCTCAGTGTAAGAGAACTTGTGGGGGCTGGGCTCACTCCTCACAGAGGCCAGGGTAAGGCAGGATGCCTACAGGGGTACAGACTTACTTCATTGTAGTAGTTTACTGATTCTCAGTGTAAGAGAACTTGTGGGGGCTGGGCTCACTCCTCACAGAGGCCAGGGTAAGGCAGGATGCCTACAGGGGTTCAGACTTACTTCATTGTAGTAGTTTACTGATTCTCAGTGTAAGAGAACTTGTGGGGGCTGGGCTCACTCCTCACAGAGGCCAGGGTAAGGCAGGATGCCTACAGGGGTACAGACTTACTTCATTGTAGTAGTTTACTGATTCTCGGTGTAAGAGAACTTGTGGGGGCTGGGCTCACTCCTCACAGAGGCCAGGGTAAGGCAGGATGCCTACAGGGGTTCAGACTTACTTCATTGTAGTAGTTTACTGATTCTCGGTGTAAGAGAACTTGTGGGGGCTGGGCTCACTCCTCACAGAGGCCAGGGTAAGGCAGGATGCCTACAGGGGTACAGACTTACTTCCTTGTAGTAGTTTACTGATTCTCAGTGTAAGAGAACTTGTGGGGGCTGGGCTCACTCCTCACAGAGGCCAGGGTAAGGCAGGATGCCTACAGGGGTTCAGACTTACTTCATTGTAGTAGTTTACTGATTCTCAGTGTAAGAGAACTTGTGGGGGCTGGGCTCACTCCTCACAGAGGCCAGGGTAAGGCAGGATGCCTACAGGGGTACAGACTTACTTCATTGTAGTAGTTTACTGATTCTCAGTGTAAGAGAACTTGTGGGGGCTGGGCTCACTCCTCACAGAGGCCAGGGTAAGGCAGGATGCCTACAGGGGTTCAGACTTACTTCATTGTAGTAGTTTACTGATTCTCAGTGTAAGAGAACTTGTGGGGGCTGGGCTCACTCCTCACAGAGGCCAGGGTAAGGCAGGATGCCTACAGGGGTACAGACTTACTTCATTGTAGTAGTTTACTGATTCTCAGTGTAAGAGAACTTGTGGGGGCTGGGCTCACTCCTCACAGAGGCCAGGGTAAGGCAGGATGCCTACAGGGGTTCAGACTTACTTCATTGTAGTAGTTTACTGATTCTCGGTGTAAGAGAACTTGTGGGGGCTGGGCTCACTCCTCACAGAGGCCAGGGTAAGGCAGGATGCCTACAGGGGTACAGACTTACTTCATTGTAGTAGTTTACTGATTCTCAGTGTAAGAGAACTTGTGGGGGCTGGGCTCACTCCTCACAGAGGCCAGGGTAAGGCAGGATGCCTACAGGGGTTCAGACTTACTTCATTGTAGTAGTTTACTGATTCTCGGTGTAAGAGAACTTGTGGGGGCTGGGCTCACTCCTCACAGAGGCCAGGGTAAGGCAGGATGCCTACAGGGGTTCAGACTTACTTCATTGTAGTAGTTTACTGATTCTCAGTGTAAGAGAACTTGTGGGGGCTGGGCTCACTCCTCACAGAGGCCAGGGTAAGGCAGGATGCCTACAGGGGTACAGACTTACTTCATTGTGGTAGTTTACTGATTCTCGGTGTAAGAGAACTTGTGGGGGCTGGGCTCACTCCTCACAGAGGCCAGGGTAAGGCAGGATGCCTACAGGGGTTCAGACTTACTTCCTTGTAGTAGTTTACTGATTCTCGGTGTAAGAGAACTTGTGGGGGCTGGGCTCACTCCTCACAGAGGCCAGGGTAAGGCAGGATGCCTACAGGGGTTCAGACTTACTTCATTGTAGTAGTTTACTGATTCTCGGTGTAAGAGAACTTGTGGGGGCTGGGCTCACTCCTCACAGAGGCCAGGGTAAGGCAGGATGCCTACAGGGGTTCAGACTAACTTCATTGTAGTAGTTTACTGATTCTCAGTGTAAGAGAACTTGTGGGGGCTGGGCTCACTCCTCACAGAGGCCAGGGTAAGGCAGGATGCCTACAGGGGTTCAGACTTACTTCATTGTAGTAGTTTACTGATTCTCAGTGTAAGAGAACTTGTGGGGGCTGGGCTCACTCCTCACAGAGGCCAGGGTAAGGCAGGATGCCTACAGGGGTTCAGACTTACTTCATTGTAGTAGTTTACTGATTCTCAGTGTAAGAGAACTTGTGGGGGCTGGGCTCACTCCTCACAGAGGCCAGGGTAAGGCAGGATGCCTACAGGGGTACAGACTTACTTCATTGTAGTAGTTTACTGATTCTCAGTGTAAGAGAACTTGTGGGGGCTGGGCTCACTCCTCACAGAGGCCAGGGTAAGGCAGGATGCCTACAGGGGTTCAGACTTACTTCATTGTAGTAGTTTACTGATTCTCGGTGTAAGAGAACTTGTGGGGGCTGGGCTCACTCCTCACAGAGGCCAGGGTAAGGCAGGATGCCTACAGGGGTACAGACTTACTTCATTGTAGTAGTTTACTGATTCTCAGTGTAAGAGAACTTGTGGGGGCTGGGCTCACTCCTCACAGAGGCCAGGGTAAGGCAGGATGCCTACAGGGGTTCAGACTTACTTCATTGTAGTAGTTTACTGATTCTCGGTGTAAGAGAACTTGTGGGGGCTGGGCTCACTCCTCACAGAGGCCAGGGTAAGGCAGGATGCCTACAGGGGTTCAGACTTACTTCATTGTAGTAGTTTACTGATTCTCAGTGTAAGAGAACTTGTGGGGGCTGGGCTCACTCCTCACAGAGGCCAGGGTAAGGCAGGATGCCTACAGGGGTACAGACTTACTTCATTGTGGTAGTTTACTGATTCTCGGTGTAAGAGAACTTGTGGGGGCTGGGCTCACTCCTCACAGAGGCCAGGGTAAGGCAGGATGCCTACAGGGGTTCAGACTTACTTCCTTGTAGTAGTTTACTGATTCTCGGTGTAAGAGAACTTGTGGGGGCTGGGCTCACTCCTCACAGAGGCCAGGGTAAGGCAGGATGCCTACAGGGGTTCAGACTTACTTCATTGTAGTAGTTTACTGATTCTCGGTGTAAGAGAACTTGTGGGGGCTGGGCTCACTCCTCACAGAGGCCAGGGTAAGGCAGGATGCCTACAGGGGTTCAGACTAACTTCATTGTAGTAGTTTACTGATTCTCAGTGTAAGAGAACTTGTGGGGGCTGGGCTCACTCCTCACAGAGGCCAGGGTAAGGCAGGATGCCTACAGGGGTTCAGACTTACTTCATTGTAGTAGTTTACTGATTCTCAGTGTAAGAGAACTTGTGGGGGCTGGGCTCACACCTCACAGAGGCCAGGGTAAGGCAGGATGCCTACAGGGGTTCAAACTTACTTCATTGTAGTAGTTTACTGATTCTCAGTGTAAGAGAACTTGTGGGGGCTGGGCTCACTCCTCACAGAGGCCAGGGTAAGGCAGGATGCCTACAGGGGTTCAGACTAACTTCATTGTAGTAGTTTACTGATTCTCAGTGTAAGAGAACTTGTGGGGGCTGGGCTCACTCCTCACAGAGGCCAGGGTAAGGCAGGATGCCTACAGGGGTTCAGACTTACTTCCTTGTAGTAGTTTACTGATTCTCAGTGTAAGAGAACTTGTGGGGGCTGGGCTCACTCCTCACAGAGGCCAGGGTAAGGCAGGATGCCTACAGGGGTTCAGACTTACTTCATTGTAGTAGTTTACTGATTCTCGGTGTAAGAGAACTTGTGGGGGCTGGGCTCACTCCTCACAGAGGCCAGGGTAAGGCAGGATGCCTACAGGGGTTCAGACTTACTTCATTGTAGTAGTTTACTGATTCTTGGTGTAAGAGAACTTGTGGGGGCTGGGCTTATTTTGGCCATGGGGAAGAGTACCAGAGGGATGCAGGTTTACTTCATTGAAGTAGTTTACTGTTCAGCACTTAGCATTCAGGCAGATTTTGGTGTGGGAAGAAACGCACATCTGAGCACTTGATGAGTGATTACATATTGCAAACTCATATCCAATATGAAGACATTACACAGTAAATGATAGTTCAGTGAGACCTGCTTCATGAAGATGGGCGGTCGGGCAGCCTAGTGTTCGCTCGTCATGCCGATTCCCGAGATGGGTACAATGTGTGAAGCCCATTTCTGGTGTCCCCGCCGCGATGTTGCTGGAATGTTGCTTAAAGCGGCGTAAAACCAAACTCACTCACTCACTCACGAACGAACGAACGTACGAACGAAGTCATTTCCAGACTGTCTGGTCTTATACACTTTGCAATCTTCGAATGGCTACTGTTGTACACCTTTGCCACAATATGCATATGAAGTCGTCTTAGACAGCTGTAGGAACAGAGGGTAGACCTGGGATCTGTGTGTCACATGACATACAGTCTAGTGCCCTGGGACACCTTGAATATCCTGGCAACAGCCCACTGCCTTTCTCCTGCTTCCAATTGTCAGACATTGCAGTTGAATGATAGCTGACAGACAAAGTTTTGTCAGCCAAGAACAACGCAACTTTAATGAGCACATGTTCCCGTGGTTCTCATGTGGTGGTACCTTTCTCTCTTGTTACGTTTGATTGGAATGTTTTTATTTCACTTGAACCTGGATCCGAGTTATCATTTGTAATTTCACTTGTCACAAACACTATTATCCACAATATTCTCCCCCAGAGCTTTGATGAGCTTGTTGAGCTGGCAGAAAGAGGGGATCACCGGTCAGTGGACATGCTGGTCAAGGATATCTACGGGGGCGCCTACACCAGCATAGGTCTTCCAGGGGACATCATCGCCAGCAGCTTTGGGAAAGCAGCACGCTCGCCAAAAGACAAGAATAGTTAGTTGGGTCTCAGAACAAATAGTAGTAAAATCAGAGATGTGTTTTCCACAGAAAGTCCTTAGTACCGTGCTTTGGTCACTGGTTTTATGTTAATAAGAATGAAATTTATCTTCAGCATAGCTCCTTGGTATAAAACCAGTTAGGCTTTATGTGTGGAAAAGTTGTCAGAGCCACCCTGTGCGGTCGAGTATATTAAAAATCCCCAAATCATGCATGAAAACAAATTAACTTACAACAATAACGGTGAGTTGGTACGATCTTTTGATCAATTCACACGTGACGAGATTTTGATATTTGCCAGTACAAGGGTGTTTGCATTCTTGAAAATGTAGTGGCTTTGTGTTTTTATGTATTTTTAAATCTCTCTGAAACTGCAAAATTTAGAGAGGAAGGATTATGATTTTTGTTTGAGTTGTAAAAATATTATGTTAATATAAAACATCCACTCTTTCCTTACTTGATGGGTAAAGATTTCTGTACACATGATTTTCAGCTTACTTGGAGGGAAACTAAAGAATAACAGTGACATGTCACTATTTCTGTAATTTTGTTGACGTAGTGGGTCAATATGCGTCTTTTGAATCCGACTCTTGGAAACATTTACCGTGTTATGTGTAAAGCCACAGTTAGCCATGTAACTGGGCCCTGTGTTCCTGTTGCAGCCAAGAGTTTCAAGGAGGAGGACTTGGCCCGGAGCCTGCTGCTGTCCATCAGTAATGACATTGGACAGATCGCCTACCTGCATGCCAGGATTCATAACCTCAAGAAGATTTACTTTGGGGGCTACTTCATCCGTGGCCATCCTATGACTATGCACACTATAACTTTTGCCATCAACTACTGGTCAAAGGTAGGTGTTTGTATCAACATTGTTCATACATGTACAGCAGGTCCTGTTGAGTCTCACCTGTCCTATAGGTATGCACACTATAACTTTTGCCATCAACTACTGGTCAAAGGTAAGTGTTTGTATCAACATTGTTCATACATGTACAGCAGGTCCTGTTGAGTCTCACCTGTCCTATAGGTATGCACACTATAACTTTTGCCATCAACTACTGGTCAAAGGTAGGTGTTTGTATCAACATTGTTCATACATGTACAGCAGGTCCTGTTGAGTCTCACCTGTCCTATAGGTATGCACACTATAACTTTTGCCATCAACTACTGGTCAAAGGTAGGTGTTTGTATCAACATTGTTCATACATGTACAGCAGGTCCTGTTGAGTCTCACCTGTCCTATAGGTATGCACACTATAACTTTTGCCATCAACTACTGGTCAAAGGTAAGTGTTTGTATCAACATTGTTCATACATTCACAGCAGGTCCTGTTGAGTCTCACCTGTCCTATAGGTATGCACACTATAACTTTTGCCATCAACTACTGGTCAAAGGTAAGTGTTTGTATCAACATTGTTCATACATGTACAGCAGGTCCTGTTGAGTCTCACCTGTCCTATAGGTATGCACACTATAACTTTTGCCATCAACTACTGGTCAAAGGTAAGTGTTTGTATCAACATTGTTCATACATTCACAGCAGGTCCTGTTGAGTCTCACCTGTCCTATAGGTATGCACACTATAACTTTTGCCATCAACTACTGGTCAAAGGTAGGTCTTTGTATCAACATTGACCACACATTCACAGCAGGTCCTGTTGAGTCTCACCTGTCCTATAGGTATGCACACTATAACTTTTGCCATCAACTACTGGTCAAAGGTAGGTGTTTGTATCAACATTGTTCATACATGTACAGCAGGTCCTGTTGAGTCTCACCTGTCCTATAGGTATGCACACTATAACTTTTGCCATCAACTACTGGTCAAAGGTAGGTGTTTGTATCAACATTGTTCATACATGTACAGCAGGTCCTGTTGAGTCTCACCTGTCCTATAGGTATGCACACTATAACTTTTGCCATCAACTACTGGTCAAAGGTAGGTGTTTGTATCAACATTGTTCATACATGTACAGCAGGTCCTGTTGAGTCTCACCTGTCCTATAGGTATGCACACTATAACTTTTGCCATCAACTACTGGTCAAAGGTAGGTGTTTGTATCAACATTGTTCATACATGTACAGCAGGTCCTGTTGAGTCTCACCTGTCCTATAGGTATGCACACTATAACTTTTGCCATCAACTACTGGTCAAAGGTAGGTGTTTGTATCAACATTGTTCATACATGTACAGCAGGTCCTGTTGAGTCTCACCTGTCCTATAGGTATGCACACTATAACTTTTGCCATCAACTACTGGTCAAAGGTAGGTGTTTGTATCAACATTGTTCATACATGTACAGCAGGTCGTGTTGAGTCTCATCTGTCCTATAGGTATGCACACTATAACTTTTGCCATCAACTACTGGTCAAAGGTAGGTGTTTGTATCAACATTGTTCATACATGTACAGCAGGTCCTGTTGAGTCTCACCTGTCCTATAGGTATGCACACTATAACTTTTGCCATCAACTACTGGTCAAAGGTAGGTGTTTGTATCAACATTGTTCATACATGTACAGCAGGTCGTGTTGAGTCTCATCTGTCCTATAGGTATGCACACTATAACTTTTGCCATCAACTACTGGTCAAAGGTAGGTGTTTGTATCAACATTGTTCATACATGTACAGCAGGTCCTGTTGAGTCTCACCTGTCCTATAGGTATGCACACTATAACTTTTGCCATCAACTACTGGTCAAAGGTAGGTGTTTGTATCAACATTGTTCATACATGTACAGCAGGTCGTGTTGAGTCTCACCTGTCCTATAGGTATGCACACTATAACTTTTGCCATCAACTACTGGTCAAAGGTAGGTGTTTGTATCAACATTGTTCATACATGTACAGCAGGTCCTGTTGAGTCTCACCTGTCCTATAGGTATGCACACTATAACTTTTGCCATCAACTACTGGTCAAAGGTAAGTGTTTGTATCAACATTGTTCATACATTCACAGCAGGTCCTGTTGAGTCTCACCTGTCCTATAGGTATGCACACTATAACTTTTGCCATCAACTACTGGTCAAAGGTAGGTGTTTGTATCAACATTGTTCATACATGTACAGCAGGTCCTGTTGAGTCTCACCTGTCCTATAGGTATGCACACTATAACTTTTGCCATCAACTACTGGTCAAAGGTAGGTGTTTGTATCAACATTGTTCATACATGTACAGCAGGTCCTGTTGAGTCTCACCTGTCCTATAGGTATGCACACTATAACTTTTGCCATCAACTACTGGTCAAAGGTAGGTGTTTGTATCAACATTGTTCATACATGTACAGCAGGTCCTGTTGAGTCTCACCTGTCCTATAGGTATGCACACTATAACTTTTGCCATCAACTACTGGTCAAAGGTAAGTGTTTGTATCAACATTGTTCATACATGTACAGCAGGTCCTGTTGAGTCTCACCTGTCCTATAGGTATGCACACTATAACTTTTGCCATCAACTACTGGTCAAAGGTAGGTGTTTGTATCAACATTGTTCATACATGTACAGCAGGTCCTGTTGAGTCTCACCTGTCCTATAGGTATGCACACTATAACTTTTGCCATCAACTACTGGTCAAAGGTAGGTGTTTGTATCAACATTGTTCATACATGTACAGCAGGTCCTGTTGAGTGTCACCTGTCCTATAGGTATGCACACTATAACTTTTGCCATCAACTACTGGTCAAAGGTAAGTGTTTGTATCAACATTGTTCATACATGTACAGCAGGTCCTGTTGAGTCTCACCTGTCCTATAGGTATGCACACTATAACTTTTGCCATCAACTACTGGTCAAAGGTAGGTGTTTGTGTCAACATTGTTCATACATGTACAGCAGGTCCTGTTGAGTGTCACCTGTCCTATAGGTATGCACACTATAACTTTTGCCATCAACTACTGGTCAAAGGTAGGTGTTTGTATCAACATTGTTCATACATGTACAGCAGGTCCTGTTGAGTCTCACCTGTCCTATAGGTAGGCACACTATAACTTTTGCCATCAACTACTGGTCAAAGGTAAGTGTTTGTATCAACATTGTTCATACATGTACAGCAGGTCCTGTTGAGTGTCACCTGTCCTATAGGTATGCACACTATAACTTTTGCCATCAACTACTGGTCAAAGGTAGGTGTTTGTATCAACATTGACCACACATTCACAGCAGGTCCTGTTGAGTCTCACCTGTCCTATAGGTATGCACACTATAACTTTTGCCATCAACTACTGGTCAAAGGTAAGTGTTTGTATCAACATTGTTCATACATGTACAGCAGGTCCTGTTGAGTCTCACCTGTCCTATAGGTATGCACACTATAACTTTTGCCATCAACTACTGGTCAAAGGTAAGTGTTTGTATCAACATTGTTCATACATGTACAGCAGGTCCTGTTGAGTCTCACCTGTCCTATAGGTATGCACACTATAACTTTTGCCATCAACTACTGGTCAAAGGTAGGTGTTTGTATCAACATTGTTCATACATGTACAGCAGGTCCTGTTGAGTCTCACCTGTCCTATAGGTATGCACACTATAACTTTTGCCATCAACTACTGGTCAAAGGTAGGTGTTTGTATCAACATTGTTCATACATGTACAGCAGGTCCTGTTGAGTCTCACCTGTCCTATAGGTATGCACACTATAACTTTTGCCATCAACTACTGGTCAAAGGTAAGTGTTTGTATCAACATTGTTCATACATGTACAGCAGGTCCTGTTGAGTCTCACCTGTCCTATAGGTATGCACACTATAACTTTTGCCATCAACTACTGGTCAAAGGTAGGTGTTTGTGTCAACATTGTTCATACATGTACAGCAGGTCCTGTTGAGTGTCACCTGTCCTATAGGTATGCACACTATAACTTTTGCCATCAACTACTGGTCAAAGGTAAGTGTTTGTATCAACATTGTTCATACATTCACAGCAGGTCCTGTTGAGTCTCACCTGTCCTATAGGTATGCACACTATAACTTTTGCCATCAACTACTGGTCAAAGGTAAGTGTTTGTATCAACATTGTTCATACATGTACAGCAGGTCCTGTTGAGTCTCACCTGTCCTATAGGTATGCACACTATAACTTTTGCCATCAACTACTGGTCAAAGGTAGGTGTTTGTGTCAACATTGTTCATACATGTACAGCAGGTCCTGTTGAGTGTCACCTGTCCTATAGGTATGCACACTATAACTTTTGCCATCAACTACTGGTCAAAGGTAAGTGTTTGTATCAACATTGTTCATACATTCACAGCAGGTCCTGTTGAGTCTCACCTGTCCTATAGGTATGCACACTATAACTTTTGCCATCAACTACTGGTCAAAGGTAAGTGTTTGTATCAACATTGTTCATACATGTACAGCAGGTCCTGTTGAGTCTCACCTGTCCTATAGGTATGCACACTATAACTTTTGCCATCAACTACTGGTCAAAGGTAGGTGTTTGTGTCAACATTGTTCATACATGTACAGCAGGTCCTGTTGAGTCTCACCTGTCCTATAGGTATGCACACTATAACTTTTGCCATCAACTACTGGTCAAAGGTAAGTGTTTGTATCAACATTGTTCATACATGTACAGCAGGTCCTGTTGAGTGTCACCTGTCCTATAGGTATGCACACTATAACTTTTGCCATCAACTACTGGTCAAAGGTAGGTGTTTGTATCAACATTGTTCATACATGTACAGCAGGTCCTGTTGAGTCTCACCTGTCCTATAGGTATGCACACGATAACTTTTGCCATCAACTACTGGTCAAAGGTAGGTGTTTGTATCAACATTGTTCATACATGTACAGCAGGTCCTGTTGAGTCTCACCTGTCCTATAGGTATGCACACTATAACTTTTGCCATCA